CATCAGCATGTGACCCTGACCCTACCAGCTGGTAGCTGATGGGTCAGGTGCTGGCAGTTTGGCATGCAGGCAAGGAACCAGCCCTGCCCCCTGCCTTATTGAGGCAGCATGCAGGGAGCTAGCAGTGGTCTCAGCCCTGGTCCCAGTTTCAGCTAGGTTGGTCTCAGCCCCACCCCCAGCATCTGACCCTTACCCCCAGTACCAGACCAAGCAACATCTGACTCCAATGAGCCTCACTTAACCTGTGCTGGAACTGGGTCCATTGAGTGATGCCAAAGAGGGTAATGATCTATTACAGACTGTTTGAGGGTAAAATGACAGGTTTTAAAAGACAGCAGAAGTGCTCTGAGTCTCATGTTCCAAAGCTAGACAGCTGGAAGAGAAGGAGGGGAGGAAAGGGTGTTGTGGGCAAGAGGGCCATGGTCCCATAGGGTTTCCAGCGAGTTAATTATGACTTGTGCCATTGGCTGTTGTTGGCTGCTTGCAGCAACATAGGTGCTCTCTGGCTGGGTAACATCAGCAGTACAGGCTGTCTGTGGACCACCCACTCAGCCCCTGTCACATTTGTCCTGGGCTCCCCTGGTAGGTTTTTCCTACTAGAAGAACAAAATGGCAGGATTCTAGCTGATCTTTTGAATGCTTGTATGCACCTAAACATAGAGGTGTGCTACCTCCTTTACCTTCCCTTTTGGTGGAAAAAACCAAGCCATTTTTAGCTGGAATTACTTTAAGTTTTTGGTTACACTAAGGGTGAAGTTACACAGTACACTTAGACCATACTAAAATTGGGGAATGTTATGTGGTGTTCAAGATGTATGTTGAGCGAAGTCGCATGTTAAGGGTTAATACTATTTCTTGCCTGCACAGCTCTCACTTGCCACTAGAGGGCTGGCAAACAGAGCCCTGTCTAGGGGCCAGGACATCTGGGCTCTATCCTATCTCCCATTCTGGGACCAAGTTGCCAGGCTGTAGCCCATTGAAAGCATGGCACCATGAGGAAGCATGCTTCTTCACTCCCTATGGCTTCATGCTCCCACCAGGCTAAACCCCATGGTCTCTGTGCTAGTAGCATGGTCCTCTTCCCCACCCCAATCCCAGGATGGTAATGGGGGATGCAGAAGGAAGCCATAGCCCCCATGAAGATACCTGGCTAGGGGGAGAGCCAGTGGCCCTTGTAAGAAATAGGGCAGGCTGCATGAAAAAAATTCAATTAACCTTGAATACATGGAGTTTTAGGTAGTAGAACTTTACTGTAGCTTTTGCCTGACTCCATATGAAAGGCAGTCTTCTCTGGGGATGGCTGGGGGGAGTGGGGAGGGGCCTGGGATTGGGTTGGGTGGCTACGATTAGGTCATTTGCGTTCATGTAGCATAGCCCTGTCCCCCTATTCCCCACCCAAGGATGGGAATGTGGGAAGCCACAGCCCCCATGCTTCCATGCCCCTCTGCCTTCCAGCTCCATGCTCTCACTACTGCAACTCTCTTACTGGCACTGGCAGAGCCCTACCTTCTCCTCAGCCATACCAACCCTTGGATGGGAGGATGGAAAGTTCATCCACAGAGCTGGAGTAGTGGGGGCTGGGATGCTGGACGACTGCAAAATGTGTGTTTTATCTCTGTGGAGCAGACTGAAGTTACCCTAACATGAGCTAGGTAGCATGGCCCAGAGTTAACTCTCACCTGAAGTGGCATAACTTTGAGATGCTCAAAGGCCACTTAGCACAAATTAATGAGCTTTAATTGCAGACACTCATGTTTTAAGTGCCCTTGGTATGGTCTAAATATAATGTATAACTTCACTGTTAATGAGTCAGAAGGCTGAAGAAATCTACCTCACCTTGAACAATAGGGATATATTCAAACCAGTTGTATTGTCTTTCAACTATTGGGACCTTCTTTGACTGCTACAAGCAGGGTGCCTATGGGGTGAAATAACCCCTATTTTATTTATAACCCAATTAAAAATATTTTCCTGCCTAAAATCCATGGTTATTTTTAAATTCATAGGACATAACATCCAGAAACTATGAATAAAACCACATCTATATGTCAGGTGCTTTCAGAGTGAGTGAGTTTTGCTTCATGTTGACTATGGTAACAACAGACTCCTTTGACATCCACTCATTTTGTCTTTGCAGTTTTAAACAACACTCAAGACCATAAGCCTGTGTGTTTGGAACTCTTTCCTTTTTTGTCTCCTCCTATTCAGCTCTCTCTATGGGTCTGATCTTGCATTAGATGATCTTGCACCATACACAAATTAAATTAGTTTTCACCAGTAATCCCAATCTATTATGAAAGTATAGACAATTGAGTTAAGTTGGTCCCAATATTTGATTTCCTTTTAGAATATTCTATTAATCCTTGTATTTAGTTTGTGTTTTCATATTATTTGAATTATTATGGATCATTGTACTCCACCTTAGGATGCATAGTAGACTGGAAGCTGAATCATATTTAATAGGCACTGTCTCATGCTAGGATTTGTATGGAGATACACTTGTCAAAGGAAAGGCAGAATTACTACTGTAGTAGTAGGCAGTGGAAACATTCTTGTGTATCCAAACAGGTCTGGTAGCTGTCTTGGGTGACTGCATAGCCCTTTGAAGTGTCCTGCATTCAGGGAATATTAAAAGCCAATCTTTTTCTGGGAGCGGGCATGAGAGCTGTTAGTATTCCAGCTACTGAGCAGAGGTAGTTGGGAAATGATTCTTCCCTCTTGCTGCTGTTTTTATTTCATGAAAGAAGGAATATTTGTTGCCCAGTACTTTGAGGTGTTCTCCCCTTTTTATTTCTTGTTGAAGTAAGTGGGAGCTTAAAGTTCTTTACTATCATAAATAGTGGTATTTAGATCATCATAAATGAGGGAAGTAATTCTTCTTGTGCCTTTTACCTGCTTATATTTCTTCAAGGAACAGGGCAAGATGTGGTCCATTGTTGTTATTATTATTATATTTAACGTATCACATAATATATTATCACATAATAATGATAATCATATGAAATGTTATCCCATTTATTTTATGCTACAGAGCTATTTTTTTAACTCAACAAATTTAAAGTACTGCTATTTTTCAGCATCATTTAGGACATATATAGTATATCCTTTATAAAAAGACTTGAAGAGTTTTGAAATTAAAAAAAGAAAATAAAGCAGAATCATGGCAATATTACCATTTTCAGTTGAAGTTGCCATTGAGAGACCACTAGCTAAAGCAGTCCTAATGATTAGATTATTTCTGAGAAGCAAAGGATGTTCAGTGGATAAGCATGGATCTAAAAGTCAGAGGATCTGGCTTATGTTCCCATGATCTGCCATTGACGTAATATGGCATGTCAGGAGCCATTTTGTCACAATTCCTTTGTGACAAAATGCTTCTTAACTTCCTTGGGATGCAACTGAAAGCAAGGAATTATTTTTAAAAAAACCCAAAGTTTACAGTAACCTGTACTTAAATTATGCAGGTGGATGCTTTGTGCCAGATAGTGTATAATTCATTCACATTTGGTTGCCTTGTCCTGCTTCTCTGCAACCCCACTGGGATATTGTACATTGCTGGTGCTGCAGAGATTCTCCCCAGTTATTTCTGGCCATATGGGAGACATCTTGGCAAAGGGAATACAGATAGCAAAGCCGCCCCATCTCCCCTGCAATTCCCTCTTCTGAAGCCAAACCCATAGAGAGGTGCTCAAATGAGGAGTGGGGTGATAGTGGGTGCCCCAGTGTGCTGATGCTAGTGGGTGTTTGGTGCACAAAAAAGCTGACAGGGCAGAGAGAAGGGACATAGAATTGAAACAGTGGGTAGCAGGGATGAAAGGTAGGATGTAGCATAGGGATGGAGTGGGGAGAGCAAGACTGAAGGTTGAGACACAAAAGTGTGTGAGGCCTGAAATGAAGGAAAAGAAATTAGGAGAATATGAACAGCTGGTAGGCTGCAGGACCAGAGTGGGAGAGATGACTCCCAGGCTTCCTAAGGGAACCTAGTTCTCTGTGCATTTGTGTGGAGGGACTGGCTCTCCACATATTTTTTCCTGGAGATTCCTTATAGAAATACTTCCGTCTTGCTGCTGCTGTTTTTATTTCATGGAAGAAGGAATATTTATTACTCAGTACTGTTCTCCCCTTTCATTTTTTTTAAAGGAAATAGGAGCTGAAAATGATTTGTCACCTGAAAGTGGTGTTCAGCCCATCATAAATTGAGGTTCTAACTGTAATTGAACTTAGTGACAATAATACCTTGAATCACATCTCACAATTTACCTTTCAAATCAGTTGATTCCCAACTCAGAAAGAAGTTTTGATAATGAACCACCAAAACAATAAACTGCAAAACTCTTTGGATTTGAGCCTTCAATGGTCTCTGTGTGTGGAGACCCCAGTGTCTGTGCAGAGCCCAGGTCCTAAACATGCTATGTTATCTAAAGTAGAGGGATGGAACAAGGCCAACAAATACAGCAAATGTCCCATAAGGCTCCCACGTTCTTTTCATAGTTAGATACCCCTTGTAAACAGAAAGATAAGACATGAAAGCTAAATTATTTTCCTTATTATCCTCATGCTTAAATGATATGTTACATGCAAAAAAATTCTAGTTTTTCTCCTCAGTGATTTAAATTTATTATTATTTCACCTACAATAAACACAAGACCTGTTTCTTTATAAAGATAATGCGAAAATTATACTAAATCATTGCAAAGAATGTCAACTTTCTAACAGTAGTAGTTGGTATTTTTCCCCCAGATGTGCATGTTTCATTTTGACGTTCAGTTCTTTCTTTGCTTGCTTGCCTTGTTTATTCCCTGAAATTTATGAAATTTAAAATAAATAAAAAATTAGCAGCTGCTCTGCATAGTAAGATAGTAGGAGGACCTTCAGCTCTAATTGTCCTTAATCTTTGTAAAATACATTTGTGTACATTAAAAAAAATGTTTTCTGAATTTTCTATGTTTAATGTGTACTGCGGTTAAACTACTTGTTTTTTCCCTGCCTGCTCTTTCAAGATGCCAATTAGGAATAATGGGAAGCAAGGGGTAGGCTAAGCATTGCAGTGCATTGTTGTTTCCATCTGTCTGTGATTATTCCAGCCAACAGTTTAAAACACTTTTATGCCCCATCATGCTCCCATTGAAGTTAATTGGGGACTTTGCCATTAGGTTTGATGGGAGTAGGATTGGGCTCTGCACTGTCGTTGTTGTGTTCATTGCGTTTTTTCTTGTCTGTGAAACTGCCACCCACCCATGCATGTGTTTGCCAGGTTTATTTATTTGTGCTCTTTTTACCAATGGGCTTGTTCTTCTGATGTTTCAGGCTAAGTATTATAAGTGGAGGGGGGGAAAAGGGGATTGTTGGGTTAACTGTCAGCTGAAAATGTTTTTCTCATTGTCACTGTGTAAGACCAATTATTTCCTTCAATTCTTAGAATCGAACAAGATTTCTAAATACGTTGTCACGTGGCTGAATTTTATGGACTAGGTTATAATATATATTTTTAAATATTTACTTGTATGACAATATTTAGCAACTTACAATGAAATCAGAATTATTTTTTTAATTGCTACCATCTTCTATGAAAATTATAATGTGGGGGAAGTTGTTTCTTTTCTCTCACGATACAGTTTTGGAAGTATAGGTCTCAGATGAAATTTTAAGAATAATACAAAGAGATTTTCATTTTCCGTTATTGAGTCATTTTGAAAAATATTGACAACTGACAGAAATACCCATAATCCTATTTTCATGCAAACCTGACTTTGGTCCTGAAGATATAGGGCCACCAAACTATCTTACTTGTTGTTGTTTCTTAAAATTAACTCTGAAGGCTCATGAAGCTGAAGAAGAAGCCCGTATGAACCCGGAATTTGCAGACCGAATGAAACAGCTTGACAAAGAGGCATCATACTACCGAGAAGAATGTGGCAAAGCTCAGGCCGAGGTTGACAGACTGCTAGAAATCCTCAAGGAAGTGGAGAATGAGAAGAACGACAAAGATAAGAAAATTGCAGAGCTAGAAAGGTAATTTTTATCTTATTTCTGCTGATTTGGATTTTCAATTATATAGGCTATATCATGGATTTATTGTATATGGAATAATGTTAAATAACATAAGTAAAGCATCAACCAAATAGAGGATTTTTGATGTCAAATCAAATTGCTTTGCAAGTTAGAAGTGTATTTAAGAAATGTGGCACTGTTGAATTTTAAATAGATTTGGGATCTCAACGTGTTGTCTAGAAAAGCTGTTGTACTACATGGCACAGAGAATACACTGCTTACATAACACCCACAATACCTTCATGAGGCATTGCATTAAGGGAGATAAATTTTTGTTGTTGTTTTTACTGCTACTTTACTAGTAGTAGCCAAAGCCAAAATAAAAACCAATCCAGACATTTGTCCTTTTATGAAAAACCATTCCTACTTCTGAGGAGTTAATTAACTGTGGCTTTGGGTGTTTTTCAGAGGCATTGGGTGCATTCACACAAGACACTTTACTACACAGTAGACTAAAGTACTGCACAGTAAGGAATCACCATGTAATCGCGCAAAGCAGCTACTGTGTAGTTAATTTGGCTAAAGCACGATTTTCTACTATCTGTATATATAGGTAGCAAGTAGATTAACCGAGCATTAGCTATTGCTCAATAGTGCATGTGTAAATGCTGGTTGGGAGCAATTTGCTCCTGGTCAGCCTGCACAGCAGGGGGCCCGATGCTGCCTGGCAAAAACCCAATGTTGGGGAAACCTGTGCCAGCTGCAGAGGCAGATGTCTCCCTACAGTGTGAGGATCAGGACCATCCTGATCCCTATGTGGCCAAGAGAGCTGTCCCACCAGCCAGGACTGCTGCATCCCTGCCATATGGGGATCAGGTCAGGACCCAAACCCCATGTGGCCAGGAGAGGTGTCCCCACCTGGTAAGGACCCAACCCAATCCCCATGGGACAGCTTTCCTCCCCACATGGGGATTGGAAACAGCCCCATGCTGCCTGCCATCCCTGGACTGGCACAGGGGGGAACCTGGAGTTCCCCTTGGCTACTGCACTGGGGCAGAGCAGGGCAAGGGGGCAAGATCATCCCTGGTCTTAACTGCTCCCATTGAGAGCAAATTTTCTTCCAAGTGGGTACATGAGTAGACCCCTTCCCAGGCACAGTTTACTGTTCCTTATTTTAATGCACAGTAACCTTACTGCACATTAATTGCATGGGTAGATGCACCCACTGCGCACTCTTTCTTATCCTTACAAATATTGTCTGATGCTGGCTCCTTCCCTTTTCTTTTATGAGTAGGGAATTTTTGCAGCCTTTCATCAGCAGAGGTAGGGAAGTGAAGGGATCCACTTATCTCATTCCTTTTAAAATGAACAGTACCCTGAAGTTTCTTCTGAAGATTGTGCTCTAGGTTGCACTGTGAATTTCCTTATTTTCTGGCAAACCTCTTCCTTTCCCTAGACTAAGCTATCTTTATGGAAAGTAAGGATGATATCTTGTACACTCAGGTATTTCACAAACTTGCTCTCAAGAGTTTGTATAATGAAAGGAGGGTGTCAAGGTACCAAAAGTGAGATCTAACTATTGATAGATTCTGTTTGTCTAATAGCTACCATTGGACAGAGTGCAGCATCCTCCTACCAGAAAGATCTTGCCAGAAGAGATGCAGGAAATGTTAGTTATCATCAGGAGAGGGAGCCAGGATCTGCTTAGGGAGGGAAGATTGTATAGATGACTGCTGGGACATCTTCAAATCCTTTAAATATTGGACAGTCTCTCAAAGGGCATATCTGGTTGCTTACAAAGAAGGAAATATATCAACCTTTACAATTTACCTTTTGCCAAATTTTTACTTGATTTATATATTTGCAGACTCTTGACAGTAATTACTTGTGAATGCTGTAGAATTTTAATTGGTGTAGTGTTTAGAGTTTAATTGGTGATCAGCTTTTTTCTAAGCATCTCTTTCTTTTACTTTAGAACACTGAGGTCTCAGAAAAATATAAAATCAGTGTGGATTTGTGTGGGTGGGCTAAGCAGGTGTTGGAGGAACTTATGAAGGGGTAGCACTTACTCTTTGATCCATGAACCTAAGTTCTTTATGGTCTTAAAAATCTAGGACAATTGGAGGCAGAATCAGTGAATCATGGGAACTGCAGCTTGAAAGTTGTGGTGTAGTGATCTGGTAGGTGTTGGGAGGTTCCTACATAGTTGTGTTTAACCACGGTACTCACTGTGGAAGATGTGTGATACGGGTAGCAATGGTGTTGAGTTGTCTTTACTAGTAATGGTATTGAGACTTCTTACAGTAAATAATATCATTTTTTTTTTTCCCTCCAGAAAGGAGACAAAAGGTCTGAGTATCTGAGTGCTGTTTTTTTGGATCTGTGGGAAGGAATATTGTGGTAAATTAGGTAGAATAAATTGGCCCAGAAGTCAAAGATCTTAATATGACCTTGTGACTGTACTATATGAGACAATTAATAAGATTAGTGGTTTCAAGTTCAGAGATCTCAGCCTGCTTAGTCCTTTGGCAAACAGTATCATTAAAATATTTTAGCTTGTTATTACAGTTTACAAATAATAACAATAACAATAATTTGAAAGGTACGATCTGAAATAAGACTTTTATGTTAACAGCTTCCTTTATTAACTTTCACTTTGGCTACATAGATTTCTTAGTGGGAAAAAATCTGTTTGCTATTCTTTTATATGATATTCAGGATGGTAATTTTTTGCGGGGAGGGGGAAATAAAAATTGCTTTTTAAAAGATGGGATGAGACACATAACAGGGATGGGAAGAAAACAGAGAGAGAAAATTATTTTTTTGTTTCTTCTGCTGACTACTTGCAACCTTTCTGTTAGGGAGAGACAGATATAGTGCATGTTCTAATCAGCTGGTCTGAGACCATGCAACTTGTGGGACAGATAGATGCTTTAAAGTGTTCTCTTAGCTGCCTTTGTCACAGGTTCAGGGTGATATTTGAAAACATATGGTCTTAGCCAACTGAGCCAGGCCCTCAGTGAACAGAAGGCATAAGAGGGGATAGGAAAGAGAGGAAATGAGGCAGGAAAGGAAAAAGAGACACAAAGGGAAGGGTAGAAGACATAAATGCAAGTCTTGCGTTCCTGATGCAAGAGGTAGGGAAGTGGCTCTAATCAAAGTTGGTGGTAATGTCATCTGGGTCCTGACCTCTGGCTCACTATAATCATGTCACCTCTCAAGATCAGGACGACAACAATGTAACCTTCCTATGGTGGATCTTGGAGTCCCAGGAGACACTAGGGGTGGCAGCCAAGATGGAAAAGTTCCCTGCTTTCACCTGTCCTCCTGGTATCAATGTCAAAATAAAGGACCCCGTACACAGGTGATAGGACAAATAATACTTTCTTATTATTTGGTTAACTAATTAGGCCTAATGTGTGGTACACCAATTTTGGTTCATTGATTTCTGGAACTGTACTTTTCTAGTCAATCAGCAACAATCTCAGTGCACCCACCTGGTCTCATATAGGTGCTCTCCAGCGACCTTTGAGCACACACCTGGTTCTGGCCACGGGATGTGTCCCCGGGAACTGTGCGTTGGGTTGCATTCAACCCGAGGGAGGCCCTGACACTTGCCTGCAATGACTTGGTCTCCTTTTCTTCAGTGGTGGGGCTCCTCCTCACAGGTTTTCGCAGACTGGGTGTTGCCCTTTGTGGGCATTCTTGGGGATCCACCTCCCCTACACCCCAGCCATGCACCAGCCCTCGGAACTGCTGGATGATGGGTCACCAGTCTGTCTCTTTTGAAGTTCTTGTCCACTGTCTTCTCTCCTTGCCCATCCCTCGATGACCTTTCACCCCAGATGACAGCGAGGTGTGGGACTGTCCTTGTCTCTGCATCTGTTCTTCCTCTGAGGCTTCTGCTGTGCTACCTCAGTCCTCTTTTTTGACCCGGGTTCACTTGGGTGTTCCTTCCCCAGTCCTGGGCTCCATGTGCCCTCCAAAATAAAAGTAACAGAAAAAAGAAGAAAAGAATAATCGGGGTACGGGCCTCTGCCCACCCCACTCACAGGTCCGGCATCTGTGGTCCTCGAGATCTCTCAATGCCGTCCCTCCTTGGCCCAGCTGCCCTGCCGAGCTGGGTGTGTAACTCTTCTAATGGGGTTGAGACTCCTCCTGTGGGTCTCCATCCAGCCCCCTTCTGAGCTGCCAACCCTGCTGAGTTGCGTTTTGCTGACATCATCTGCCAGTGCCATTCCCAGCTGGCAACAAAAGCGGCTGATGAACCGCACCGGCGGCCCTTCTCGGTGCAGCTCTGCTTCTCCTGGGGACAGTAAGTGTGCCCACTTTTCAGGGCTTTCTATTTCTTTCTTTGGGCAGGTCAGCCCTGCCTCGGGTCCTGCTGCAGGAGGCTGCTCCGGTGCCTTCACTTGTATCTCCCTGGGACACAACCCCCACTCAAGATGCCTTGGCTCAGTCTTTGGCTCAGTTTCCTACCTTGTGTACTTTGTCCCTTCATTGCCGGGTTTGCTATGTCTGGTGGTCTGTCTTCAACCTCACACCTGGATAAAAAATCTGCCACAGTGTTACTACATCGCCCCAGAAAAAGTATATGAAATTTGAAAGGTTGCAGGGCCAGGGCCCACCTAGTTATTCAGACGTTATCAGTTTTAACCCTGCTCAACCACTGTAGGGGTGCATGATCCGTTATAAGCTTGAACTCCCTCCCCATCAGATAGTAACGGAAATGTTCTATGGATCATTGGATTGCTAAACACTCCCTCTCTATTGTGGCATACCGTATCTCCGTGGGGAGTAGTTTACAACTCACATACGCCACAGCTCTCTCAATCCCAGCATCTTCTTGGGTCAGGATGGCCCCTATAGCTGATTCTGAGGTCTCTCTCTGCAAGATAATAGGTTTTTGAAAGTCGGGTGTGCATATCAATACGTCTTCGCATAACGCCTTCTTTAGGAGCTCGAAATTATGCCTCATTTCTGCAGTCCATTTTATGTTCCCCGTCCTTTGTTTCTTTAGG